TAGACCACATTTTATTAATCCACTCATGTATTGATGGACACTTGGGTGGTTTCCACATCTTTGCAATTGTGAATTGTGCTGCTATAAACATTCTAGTGCAGATGTCTTTACTATATAGAATGTCTTTTTTTCCTTTGGATAGATGCCAAGTAGTGGGGTTGCTGGGTCAAATGGTAGTTCTGCTTTTAGTTCTTTGAGGTGTCTCCATACTACTTTCAATTGAAGTTGTGCTAGTTTGCAGTCCCCCCAGCAGTGTATGAGTGCTCCTATTTCTCTGCATCCATGTCAGCATTTGTTGTTTTGGGACTTTTTGACAAAAGCCATTCTCACTGGAGTTAAGTGGTGTCTCTCGTGGTTTTGATTTGCATTTCCCTGATGATTAGAGATGTTGAGCAATTTTTCATGTTTGTCGGCCATTAGTCTGTCTTCTTTTGAAAAGTTTCTGCCACATTTTAAACATTTTTTTTTTCACAGAGACATGTTTCCTGGAGCTGCTCCAATCCCCTTGCACAGTCAGCTGGAGGCTCTCTCGACTTGCCACCGTGTCCCCACTTCCCTTCAATGTTGCATCTTTTCATCTCTCTGTTTTCCGTTTTTCTATTTCTTACGGTTCCTTTGACATTCATTTTCCAAGCTGTCTCTTAGTTGTTGTTTGCCTGCAATCACATTTTTACTTTTCAAGAGATCTTGTTTATTCTCTAAATGTCCCTTTCTTTCTAAATTTCTGTTTCTGTGGAGGAACTTTCTTTAAGGCTCTTTCAAGAAATTAAATTTACATTTTTTTAAAGTTTTCGTCTGTGCTTTACATCGCCTCTGATCCCTTCAAGTTTGTTACGCCTTTTGCTTATTTTGGCCTCCGAATTTTAGTTGAGCCCTTTGAAATACCTGGCAATCCTTGGCTGCCTATTCATACTTAAGAATGAAGTAGTGAAAATACTGAGGGAAAGTTCTCTGTACACAGAACAGTGTGTGCTAACATGGGGATGTTTTGTGTGGTCACTGGTAGGACCCAGGAGCCACTCCCTGTATCTCTTCTTACTACTGATTCCAATTCTTTCCAAAAGTCTAATGAGGACTATAGCTTCACTAACGATGTTTGGTGTATGACTAACATGGACCCCTGATTTTCACTGCACCTCGGAATCCTTGTATTCCACGGTTCCTTGGGGCCCACGAAGATACTTCTCTCATTCAAATCCAGTCTTCTATGGGTGGGGACGGCAGTGGATGACTCTCAGAAATTGCCTCATTGTTAGACTTGGAAAGAGAACCCAGAGGAGTCTAACTGCCCCTTATAAAAATTGTTGATAAATCTTTTTCTTTTCACTTTTCACCTCAACATCAGAAATAGTGATGCCTCCAATTCTTAAGTCTTGTAAAAATTCAGTGGCATAGAAAAATATGCTTCCGTTCCAGTAGTTCTCAGTCATTTACAAAGTTTTTGTTGATTCCACCAACTGCTTTCTTGATGCATGTGATGCTTTATTGTCATTTTCATTTGGTTTCTGGAAAGAGTAAAGATTAACTTTTGCATCCAGTTTGCTTTTATTACCAGTTACTAAGAATTTTCTACCTTAGATGTATCAAAATAAGAGAAATGGAGTGCACCTGGCAACCAGAGAGTGCTTGTGTAATGGAATTTACACAAGACTATCTCTATGTTTCGCATAAAAATTTGTTTTGAAATTATCTGTTTTAATCTGAAAGTCATGTTTGTAAATGGAATTACTGAAATCAGTGCAGGAGATTTTCATCAGTGCTCAGTACTTATCTGTATATGCATGGCTGAGACAAAACATAGGTTGTATATTTTAAATTTCTTTCATTATTTAAAACTTTCTCTGCATAGCCAAGTACTAAAATTTCTAAGGATAAGATAAACATCAATTAGAAAAAATTATCTGTTTTAATCTGAAAGTCATGTTTGTAAATGGAATTACTGAAATCAGTGCAGGAGATTTTCATCAGTGCTCAGTACTTATCTGTACA